GCCGATCCTATCGTGCTTGACGTACTTAGCTCGGATCATCTTTCAACCCTAATCGAAGTCGGACGACCAATGAACAACCTCCAAACCACTTCACTAGACTGACTACACCTCCGTTACACCCTTGAAACATCTTCATTTAAGTGCACTTTAATTCGTACAAAAGCAGAACTCCACGAAGCTGTGAATCTTCTTTCAAATGAGACTACCCCCCACAATCAATCTTCTAACATCCTCAACATTTTCTTCACAAAAAATGTTACTCTTTCCGCCGATCCTATCGTGCTTGACGTACTTAGCTCGGATCATCTTTCAACCCTAATCGAAGTCGGACGACCAATGAACAACCTCCAAACCACTTCACTAGACTGACTACACCTCCGTTACACCCTTGAAACATCTTCATTTAAGTGCACTTTAATTCGTACAAAAGCAGAACTCCACGAAGCTGTGAATCTTCTTTCAAATGAGACTACCCCCCACAATCAATCTTCTAACATCCTCAACATTTTCTTCACAAAAAATGTTACTCTTTCCGCCGATCCTATCGTGCTTGACGTACTTAGCTCGGATCATCTTTCAACCCTAATCGAAGTCGGACGACCAATGAACAACCTCCAAACCACTTCACTAGACTGACTACACCTCCGTTACACCCTTGAAACATCTTCATTTAAGTGCACTTTAATTCGTACAAAAGCAGAACTCCACGAAGCTGTGAATCTTCTTTCAAATGAGACTACCCCCCACAATCAATCTTCTAACATCCTCAACATTTTCTTCACAAAAAATGTTACTCTTTCCGCCGATCCTATCGTGCTTGACGTACTTAGCTCGGATCATCTTTCAACCCTAATCGAAGTCGGACGACCAATGAACAACCTCCAAACCACTTCACTAGACTGACTACACCTCCGTTACACCCTTGAAACATCTTCATTTAAGTGCACTTTAATTCGTACAAAAGCAGAACTCCACGAAGCTGTGAATCTTCTTTCAAATGAGACTACCCCCCACAATCAATCTTCTAACATCCTCAACATTTTCTTCACAAAAAATGTTACTCTTTCCGCCGATCCTATCGTGCTTGACGTACTTAGCTCGGATCATCTTTCAACCCTAATCGAAGTCGGACGACCAATGAACAACCTCCAAACCACTTCACTAGACTGACTACACCTCCGTTACACCCTTGAAACATCTTCATTTAAGTGCACTTTAATTCGTACAAAAGCAGAACTCCACGAAGCTGTGAATCTTCTTTCAAATGAGACTACCCCCCACAATCAATCTTCTAACATCCTCAACATTTTCTTCACAAAAAATGTTACTCTTTCCGCCGATCCTATCGTGCTTGACGTACTTAGCTCGGATCATCTTTCAACCCTAATCGAAGTCGGACGACCAATGAACAACCTCCAAACCACTTCACTAGACTGACTACACCTCCGTTACACCCTTGAAACATCTTCATTTAAGTGCACTTTAATTCGTACAAAAGCAGAACTCCACGAAGCTGTGAATCTTCTTTCAAATGAGACTACCCCCCACAATCAATCTTCTAACATCCTCAACATTTTCTTCACAAAAAATGTTACTCTTTCCGCCGATCCTATCGTGCTTGACGTACTTAGCTCGGATCATCTTTCAACCCTAATCGAAGTCGGACGACCAATGAACAACCTCCAAACCACTTCACTAGACTGACTACACCTCCGTTACACCCTTGAAACATCTTCATTTAAGTGCACTTTAATTCGTACAAAAGCAGAACTCCACGAAGCTGTGAATCTTCTTTCAAATGAGACTACCCCCCACAATCAATCTTCTAACATCCTCAACATTTTCTTCACAAAAAATGTTACTCTTTCCGCCGATCCTATCGTGCTTGACGTACTTAGCTCGGATCATCTTTCAACCCTAATCGAAGTCGGACGACCAATGAACAACCTCCAAACCACTTCACTAGACTGACTACACCTCCGTTACACCCTTGAAACATCTTCATTTAAGTGCACTTTAATTCGTACAAAAGCAGAACTCCACGAAGCTGTGAATCTTCTTTCAAATGAGACTACCCCCCACAATCAATCTTCTAACATCCTCAACATTTTCTTCACAAAAAATGTTACTCTTTCCGCCGATCCTATCGTGCTTGACGTACTTAGCTCGGATCATCTTTCAACCCTAATCGAAGTCGGACGACCAATGAACAACCTCCAAACCACTTCACTAGACTGACTACACCTCCGTTACACCCTTGAAACATCTTCATTTAAGTGCACTTTAATTCGTACAAAAGCAGAACTCCACGAAGCTGTGAATCTTCTTTCAAATGAGACTACCCCCCACAATCAATCTTCTAACATCCTCAACATTTTCTTCACAAAAAATGTTACTCTTTCCGCCGATCCTATCGTGCTTGACGTACTTAGCTCGGATCATCTTTCAACCCTAATCGAAGTCGGACGACCAATGAACAACCTCCAAACCACTTCACTAGACTGACTACACCTCCGTTACACCCTTGAAACATCTTCATTTAAGTGCACTTTAATTCGTACAAAAGCAGAACTCCACGAAGCTGTGAATCTTCTTTCAAATGAGACTACCCCCCACAATCAATCTTCTAACATCCTCAACATTTTCTTCACAAAAAATGTTACTCTTTCCGCCGATCCTATCGTGCTTGACGTACTTAGCTCGGATCATCTTTCAACCCTAATCGAAGTCGGACGACCAATGAACAACCTCCAAACCACTTCACTAGACTGACTACACCTCCGTTACACCCTTGAAACATCTTCATTTAAGTGCACTTTAATTCGTACAAAAGCAGAACTCCACGAAGCTGTGAATCTTCTTTCAAATGAGACTACCCCCCACAATCAATCTTCTAACATCCTCAACATTTTCTTCACAAAAAATGTTACTCTTTCCGCCGATCCTATCGTGCTTGACGTACTTAGCTCGGATCATCTTTCAACCCTAATCGAAGTCGGACGACCAATGAACAACCTCCAAACCACTTCACTAGACTGACTACACCTCCGTTACACCCTTGAAACATCTTCATTTAAGTGCACTTTAATTCGTACAAAAGCAGAACTCCACGAAGCTGTGAATCTTCTTTCAAATGAGACTACCCCCCACAATCAATCTTCTAACATCCTCAACATTTTCTTCACAAAAAATGTTACTCTTTCCGCCGATCCTATCGTGCTTGACGTACTTAGCTCGGATCATCTTTCAACCCTAATCGAAGTCGGACGACCAATGAACAACCTCCAAACCACTTCACTAGACTGACTACACCTCCGTTACACCCTTGAAACATCTTCATTTAAGTGCACTTTAATTCGTACAAAAGCAGAACTCCACGAAGCTGTGAATCTTCTTTCAAATGAGACTACCCCCCACAATCAATCTTCTAACATCCTCAACATTTTCTTCACAAAAAATGTTACTCTTTCCGCCGATCCTATCGTGCTTGACGTACTTAGCTCGGATCATCTTTCAACCCTAATCGAAGTCGGACGACCAATGAACAACCTCCAAACCACTTCACTAGACTGACTACACCTCCGTTACACCCTTGAAACATCTTCATTTAAGTGCACTTTAATTCGTACAAAAGCAGAACTCCACGAAGCTGTGAATCTTCTTTCAAATGAGACTACCCCCCACAATCAATCTTCTAACATCCTCAACATTTTCTTCACAAAAAATGTTACTCTTTCCGCCGATCCTATCGTGCTTGACGTACTTAGCTCGGATCATCTTTCAACCCTAATCGAAGTCGGACGACCAATGAACAACCTCCAAACCACTTCACTAGACTGACTACACCTCCGTTACACCCTTGAAACATCTTCATTTAAGTGCACTTTAATTCGTACAAAAGCAGAACTCCACGAAGCTGTGAATCTTCTTTCAAATGAGACTACCCCCCACAATCAATCTTCTAACATCCTCAACATTTTCTTCACAAAAAATGTTACTCTTTCCGCCGATCCTATCGTGCTTGACGTACTTAGCTCGGATCATCTTTCAACCCTAATCGAAGTCGGACGACCAATGAACAACCTCCAAACCACTTCACTAGACTGACTACACCTCCGTTACACCCTTGAAACATCTTCATTTAAGTGCACTTTAATTCGTACAAAAGCAGAACTCCACGAAGCTGTGAATCTTCTTTCAAATGAGACTACCCCCCACAATCAATCTTCTAACATCCTCAACATTTTCTTCACAAAAAATGTTACTCTTTCCGCCGATCCTATCGTGCTTGACGTACTTAGCTCGGATCATCTTTCAACCCTAATCGAAGTCGGACGACCAATGAACAACCTCCAAACCACTTCACTAGACTGACTACACCTCCGTTACACCCTTGAAACATCTTCATTTAAGTGCACTTTAATTCGTACAAAAGCGGAACTCCACGAAGCTGTGAATCTTCTTTCAAACGAGACTACTAGCGTAATCGAGCTCTCCACTACCTCCCATTCCACGTCTGCCCCAAATAAAACTTTTCCCGTAGACATTCTTGCCCTCCTTAAGAGGAAAAACAGAACCCGCCGCCTGTGGCAAGGCACCGCAATTCCGCACATAGTGCCGAATTTAACTCGTCTCACAAAATTCCACAGCGCCTCTTTCGACAAATACACCGGCCAGGCAGAAGCACACCCCAAAACCACTTGGAAAGTGATCCGCTTTATCCAACACAGAGCTCCCCACCTCCCACCATTTAAGCGAAATGACTTCCTATACACTTGAGATGAGGAAAAAGCTGCAATCTTTGCAGACTCTCTCTGTCTTCAGTGCTCCCCACTACGTAGCTCTGTGGATCTTGCCGAATTTCACAAGCGAATCAAGTCACCTCTCGAAACTTCCCTACTGTTTCCGATTTTAATACACGCCCCCTCGTGAAATCTTCTTCACCATCCAATCTCTGAAAAAGAGAAAGAAAAGCCCCTGGCGCGGACATAATTTCAAACGGTGGGTGTCTTAAAGGCCTTGCCACCAATACACATAAATGCACTATGCAATATCACAAACGCTATCATGCAGCTCCACCATTTCCCTTTGGTCTTGAAGGAAGCCTCAGTCATCTGTCTCCCCAAAAAAGGGAAGACCCTCAGCAATCCCTGAAGCTTCAGGTCCATGAGCCTGCTCAGTTCGCTGAGCAAAGTAGTGGAATCCATACTTCTAGACCGGCGTCTTGACCACGTGGAGCAAAACAATCTCCTTCCCGATTTCCACCACGGCTCCGGCTGGAAATCCAACAGGCCTTAGAAGGAGTCTCGCACGAAGGTCTCNGGGGGCCTGGGTTCGATTCCCGGCGAGGGAGTGGCAGTAACAATAATTTCTCCTCATTAAGTTGAGGTTATCTGTAGTAATAATTACAGTTTTTGAGGCAGAATTTCTGCAAGAAACAAAGACTATTTTATCTAGGCTTCTGTCATATCTCCGACGATTATTTTAAGTCACGTAGTCACTGATAATTACATTGAGCATAAAACTAATGATATTATATTCTAGTATTTATTGATTTATAATTAGTTATATTCCTATCATAACCTTATAATCCTAATTTAATTTTGGCATATTATATATCCATTTTGATGTAAATAGAGCCCTTGTCACTCATTAGCAAGATTAAAGTTAAATGAATAAATGCACACATTTTCAGAAGAAAGAGTATTTACAAAGATCGGGAATAGAACACGTGCCATCGATGAGACAGGCTGTCAATACGTGCCGTTCATCACTGAACCAATCAACCAATGCTTTTTAGGAAGGTTACACGGATCAGAATATAATCAATGAGAAAGCGTCTACACGTGGTCGGGTCATTCCTCTAAAAAATTTAAAAACACGATTGGACCGTGCAGAAGGCATTCCCTATTGAGAAAGCCACATGCAATATTAACTTTCAATACGATCTTCCAATTCTCAAAGTAAACATCCTCACGACATCGTACTACCCTTACGTCCACTTGTTTAAAATGAAAAGCACATATTTGTTGAACCGAAAAACTTTCTCTTGTCCTCGAATGTTTACGTTGCTCGAAAAACTTTCTTTTCGTGTTATTTGACAATAAACAACTCAGTTTACAGCACACGTACTTATATAAAGTTTCAAAAAACGTTCTTGTATGTCAAAAACTAAATTTAATTAGCCTCATGATGTGGATTTTGGTGTTAGAGTTCTGAAAAGTACGTCTGCGAGGGATTATAAACGAAATAACAAACAACTATCGTATGTCACTATTAAAGATTTGAGAAAAAAAAAATAAAATTCTATAAAATAAGTACAACGTAATCTATTTAATTGACAACTTTATCAACACTTCACCTTACACCTTCTCGGGCATAAACGACTAGTCAGAGACATATTAAAAGCAGCGACAGAGGTAAAGAGGAATAGAGGTAGATCTAGATTAGAACGAGGTGCGTGTCCAACCAGTCTTAGAACTGACGACCTTATAATGATGATGATACAATATCGACAAATACCCGTTGTCTTCAATGATACACAGGTTTTATCTAACATGTCCCAACAAGCTTCGAATGGTGTTTATGTCAATCTCCCTTGTCTTTTGATATATTCTACGCCTTAGCCGTTTAGTTGTAGTTTTGCACCTATTACTACATACTTCCTGCTCAACAGTACCCAAGAATTCTCAATTGGTCCAACCTGTGGTGCATTTGGCAGATTGTCGGTTTTAGACACAAAAGGTATGTTGTTAGTTCTTCCCAAACTCTAGTAGTTTTTGCATAATAGTAAGATGCTAAGCCGAGTGAAAAAACCATTTTATCATGTGGATGAGCCACATTAATAATCTGGAGTATCTTTTGGTAGATATTTTTCAGTGTAAATGTTGGTATAAACCGCCTCGCCCCTCACATGTCATACATAAGGTCTTAAGATTCCACCTTCTGATAAGTCACCCCAAACTAAAGTTTTGCTTTTTTCTGCTATGTATTTAATTATCTGAACAATTTTCTACATTATCGATGTAGAAACCATCGTTATTTTAATATTTTTCATCATTAGTTATGATGTTTGAAAAGTGATTTCGGTTCCGTGACTGATCTTCTATGTACTGTGGACATTCGCGTGATTTGCAAAAATACAAGACTAAGCCCAAGATCAATACTAAAACTGTCTTAATACAAGAAAGACCAAGATTAAAACCAAGACCGAACGAACAAGTTCGAAACTGCGCATTTATGAGTTAAACTATTTGAAGCAACTTTAATATACCTATTCTTCTTTTGGAACAAATCACTTCTTGTATTTGAAATTTTCAGATTGATTTTCTAGACTTTAACACGAAATATAAAAAAATTAATAATCTTTACCATTGTTTGAAAAAAGGGATCTACATGACCTGATAACACATGGTTGAAATATAGAGACGAACTAATTTTTTGTTTGATATCGCTAAAAGGTCAATTTATACGTTGGAGGAAGGGACAAAATTTATGCACTGGAGGAAAGATAAGTCCTCGAGTTTTCATAATTTTCCCAACTACCGACATTATTTTCTTTAAAGACAATAAGCTCGCATGTATGACAGAAAATTGCAGCATTTATTTTAACGGTAAATAGAAAAATTTGTACTCAGAATAATTATTCAAAAAAAAACGTAAGTAACAAATTAAATGAGCAAGATCAAGTATTGACACGCAAGTTTAAGACCAAGAAACTATGTCAGGAAGACCAAGACCAAAGCTAGAAATATTTGAGCAAGATCAAGACCAAGACCGAGTAAGCAAGACTAATATCAGCACGAAAACTGGGAGAGTCAGGACAGATCAAGCCGTTAGGCAGCGCACTAGTGACACCTGAACTACGAGGGTGCGTTTTTAAGTTCGCGAAATGGGTAGGTAGGTCATTAGTGAGGGTACTTACTCGAGTCATTACGAATTAAGCAATTCATTATTAGTATAAATACCAAGTTATATAGTACTTAGGTCAATTGTCTTTGAACTTTGAATTCGTCGACGAAACAAGTCAATCGGGAACAAATTTTGAAATATGGGGAAAATTGAGTACCGCGCTTTCATAATACCTTACCAAGCAAGGAAAATCAGTTCAAACCATACTGGAAGAGATGTCATCCTTTTACGGGGACTCTTGCCTAGACAAAACCATGATTTGCAAGTGGCATACCCTCTTTAAACAAGGCAGGGGCTTCCTTGAAGACGACCCACGGCCAGGCATTCATTAAGTCGAATAATTAATACTGGCAGATGCCCAACATAGAAGAAACAGCTCACAGAAATGGTAGGAGTATCAGGCACAACTATTTTTAAAATTCTTCACGATCATCTTGGCTTAATTAAAGTCAGCGCAAGAGGGGTGCCGAGAATGCTCACTCCGCCTCAAAAACAACAGCGTGTGGAGGATTCTCGCACGTTTTTGGACCTCTGTAGTGAAGATAAATATGGAGTATTGACTCGAATTGTTACTGGGGACGAAACTTGACTTCCAGATAGGACTCTATGCAATAACACAAAACGGCACATCATCACCAAAGAAGTTCAAACTGTCACTGCCGGCTGGGAAAATTATGGCGATAGTCTTTTGGGACTCAGCAAGGAATCCTGCTGATCGATTATAAAGGTAGAGGTGTCTCCATAACACGAAAATAGCATGCTTCATTCCTAGAGTGGTTAAAGTAAGCAGTCAAAGAAAAAAGAAGAGGAAAATTGACCAAAGCTGTCCTCCTTCTGCATCTTCGAAATTTCGGCTCATACACCCTTCAGTACTGACCTACCTCCCAGTAATTATTACCTATACCCAAACTTGAAAAAGGTTTTCGTGGAAAGAAATTTTCAAACGACAAAGAAGTGAAGGATGCAGTTTCGGCGTATTTTTCAAACAACAACAAACATTTTTTTTCGAAAGTATACGTGAGTTGTTAATTGAAAGACTGAAAAAATGTATAAGGTAACAGGTAAATTTTTTTGAAAAGGAAAAATAAATTCAAACTTTTATTTCCACTTCTTACCTCCCCATTCAGCGAACTTGAAAATGCCCCCTCGTATTTATAGCACGTCTGACCAGATCATATAAATATGTATTTGTAGTGTGATTGACTGTTAAAAAAACTGGCTTTTGTTATTTAATTGGCTTATTTTGTCAAGGGTGTCTTTGAAAGTGGATAAGTGACCCAATAGAAAAAGAGTTTGACTTCAGTCAATTCAGGAATGTACGGTATTACTAATCGTTTATTAACGACTATAAGAAAAATATAAAGTCAAGCTAACATCTTAGTGTTTATTTATACTTATTTTAACCACCAATAAAAGTTTCTGGCATACATTAATAATTAATCAAGGGATCATTAGAACGAATGAAGTTTGTTGAGTATTTGATCACGTTTGTCTTGGAATTTCGATAAAAACTTAATCAAGTAGTCCAAAGGCAAGGGCTGATCGATAAAAAAAAATATGAATAAATTATTCGAAGAAGTTTTCGTTAGTCTGCCGGTCCATGAGGAGAACAATATTTCTCTGCTTCCCATTAAGTTTTTTAATCTTCTGAATTTCAATACAGATCGCAGTGAAAGAGTAACAAGTATACTCAGTTTTTGACGGGACAACGTCTTATAATTCGATGGAGCCGGCTGCACGCACGAAACAACATGACTCATGCGGCGTTACCTCGCTCTGAGGCGTTCCATTTAAGGCTTGAAGTGGAAGCGAAAGCGCGGAACGAGCGAGAAAGAGGCACAATCGGCCTCCACGTTCGGCAGCGTTCGACATCTGTCTCTCTCCTACTTAAGTGAGCGATATGTCCGCGTGGACAGCTGCTATACAATAATACATTTACATGTTTTTGTCAAGTATGAAGTGCAGTGAAAAGTGAATGTGGTGTCAATTGTTTATAGCAACGATAATTGCGGCGATAAAGGTAATGATTCTTTCGATATTAAATATATGTTCAGTGATATATTGTCGAATTGAAGCTAGAGTTACAAAAATTTTAATGATGTTTAAAAGTTGTAAATAAAAGTTGTAAAACAATTGCTCAAAGCACATTCATACTTGTAAAAACTATGTACATTGGAAAAAAATAAATAAAAATTGACATAATTGTATTTATGCGTACAAATAAATGTAACTTGATCAATTCAATTGTGATTTCCATTTACCTCCTTCTCTATATCCATACAAAATATCTATCAAA